GTGCCCCCAAACTCTCTTTGACGAAGCCGTTCTGTCAACTAAACTAGAGTCCAAGTCACATCAATGTACGGGATTTCAAATTATCTCCTAGGATGACAGAAAAGTGCCAGACAAGGCCTGCAGAAGGAATACTGAACAAATACTGCCGGGACCTAAATCTCAGTTGCAGAACTTTACCAGTGTGAAGACTAATCCCAAGAGAACATTTCATATTTCAACATTTCAAATCTTCCACCACTTCAGCCTGGTTCACTTCAGCTTATGATACTGTGAACCATCGCCTCCTCCTGAGAAAAATGTATAATATCACAAAGGACAACCACCTCACCCACCTCATAGGAAACCTGCTACAAAACAGGAGCTTCTTTGTTGAGTTCCAGGGCCAGAGAAGCAGATGGCGGAAACAGAAGAACGGCCTGCCTCAGGGGAGCGTGCTTGCTCCATCCATGTTCAACATCTACACACATGACCAGCCACCGCCAGAAGGGACAGAGAGCTTCATCTATGCTGATGATCGTGCCATTACCGCTCAAGCAGGGAGCTTTGAGATGGTTGAACAGAAGCTCTCCAAAGCTCTAGGTGCCCGTACCGCCTACTACAGGGAAAACCAGCTGATCCCCAACCCATCTAAAACACAGACATGTGCCTTTCACTTTAAGAACAGACAAGCATCCCGAGCTCTGAGGATCACCTGGGAAGGAATCCCACGGGAGAATTGCAGCGCACCCAAATACCTGGGAGTCACTCTGGACCGTGCCCTGACCTACAAGAAGCACTGCCTGAATATCAAGCAAAAAGTGGGTGCTACAAACAATATCATAGGAAAGCTGACTGGCACAACCTGGGGATCACAACCAGACACAGTGAAGACATCTGTCCTTGCGCTATGCTCCTCTGCTGCTGAGTATGCATGCCCAGTGTGGAACACATCTCACCACGCTAAAACAGTGGATGTGGCTCTTAATGAGACATGCCGCATTATCACGGGGTGTCTGCGCCCTACACCACTGGAGAAATTACACTGCTTAGCCGGTATCGCACCACCTGACATCCACCGGGAAGTAGCAACCAATATGCTGCAAGTCGATCTGGTTGCTTCTGGAGTGAGAGAATCAGCTGTCTACGAAGACATTGCCCAGGGGACGCCCGGATGTCTTGCAATCCTGCGAGGAGGCTCCTACACCACTGGAGAAATTACACTGTCTAGCCGGTATTGCACCACCTGACATCCGCTGGGAAGTAGCAGCCAATAGTGAAAGGACCAAGGCAGAGACATCTCCAGCTCATCCCGTTTGGGTATCAGCCAGCACGTCAATGACTTAAATAAGGATATAGTTTGCTAAGATCTACAGAGACACTCGCTGGAACACCTCAGCAAATGAGAGTCCAAAAGTGGCAGGAACAAACCCAGAACCTCAACCAATGGCTGATACAAGTGAGAGACTCCCCCCTGGGCACACAGAAGACGGGGCGACTTGGAAGGCGCTGAACAGGCTGCGCTCTGGCACCACGAGATCCAGAGCCAACCTTCAGAAATGGGGCCACAAAGTAGAATCCACGACACGCGAGTGCGGAGAAGAGCAAACCACTAACCACCTGCTGCAATGCAACCTGAGCCCTGCCACATGCACAATGGAGGACCTTCTTGCGGCAACACTAGAAGCACTGCAAGGGGCCGGCTACTGGTCAAAGGACATTTAATCCACTACCAAGGTTGCAAATTTTGTATTTTGTCTGTTTGTCTGCTTTGTTCTGTTAGAAATGCAATATAATTGACTGGTTGTCCTGACACGACAAATAAAACCCAAAAGCAGACCCACACTTCCCACTGAAACACTATTAAGTTTATATTTGCTAAAATTATTCTTGGTTTTAATTATTGTATTGTTTTTAAGTGGGTTTTTTTTTTTGCACTACAAATAAAGTATGTGCAGTGTGCATAGGAATTCATTCATATATATTTTTCTCAAATTATAATGTGGCCCTCCAACAGTTTGAGGGACTGTGACCTGGCCCTCCGTTTACAAAGTTTGAGGACCCTTGATATATTGTATGTAATATATACCTTGTAAGCTGCTCTGAGTCCCCTTCGGGGTGAGAAGGGCGGCATATAAATGTCGTAAATAAATAAATAAATGTGGCTCTTAATGAGACCTGCCACATTATCACCGGATGTCTGTGCCCTACACCACTGGAGAAATTACACTGTTTAGCCGGCCTTGCACCACCTGATATCTGCTGGAAAGTAGCAGCCAATAATGGAAGGACCAAGGCAGGGACATCTTTGGCCCATCCTCTGTTCGGATATCAGTCAGCAGGCCAACGCCTTAAATCAAGAAACAGGCTCCTCTAAGATCTTGCAGGAACACCTCAGCAAGTGAGTGTCCAAAAGTGGCAGGCTAAAACTCAGCCCTATATCCCAGGTATGATTCCAGGTTTTCTGCTTTAAACTGGATTATATGATGCCAGATAGAGCAGATATCTATAGGGCCTGTCTGGAATATAGGGCCTGTCTGGAAGGGCCCTAAGACTGCAGATTGACAGCCTGGTGTGCTTCACTACTCCAAAGGTCAGATTAAAACACGAACTAGGTTTGAAGTCAACAGGAACAGAGGTTTATTTCTTTCAAGCATGAAAGGATGTCAGAATAGAGTCTTGAGTTCTCAAAGATCCGACATAACCCAATGCAAAATACAGAACAGATTTAAACACTTTTAACAGCTATTCAGAATGCTTATGCCAGCCTCTGATTGGCTGAAAACTGGCCTGGCTAAAATTTGGGCTGTCATTGGCTGCTGGCTCCATGAGGTAGTGTGGTGATTGGTCCTCCTGGTGATGGGAAACTCAAGGAGCTGTCATTCATTGATTTAAAGTGTGAATCTATTTAAAGATCTATCCCAGAGGGAGGCATAGTCCTCCAGAATGCATTGTGACAATATGCAAAACAGTCCATGATGGGATTAATGGTTCAGTCCAGTTTATATGAGGGAAGAAGTTTAGTAAAAAAAAAAACCATGGGTAGCTATGGTGTGGGCGACCTAGAAGGCGCTGTACAGGTTGTGCTCTGGCACCACAAGACGCAAAGCCAACCTTAAGCAACGGGGCTACAAAGTGGAGTCCACGACATGCGAGTGCGGAGAAGAGCAAGCCACAGACCACGGACTACAATGCGGTCTGAGCCCTGCCACATGCACAATGGGGACCTTCTCACAGCGACACCAGAGGCACTTCCAAGTGGTCAAAGGACATTTAGCATCATGCCAAGTTTTTAAAACTTTGTTTTTAAATGCATTTTAACTGTTTCCTCAACTTGCTTCTGACACGGCAAATAAAAAAGGTACTCATGACACATGGCTGAGGTCTTACCTTTGTTGTTATAGACATCTAGATAATTTGGTGCAGAAAAGATTGTGATTAGGGATGGAAAACCTGTAGTCTGGCTTTTTCTGTACATTCGGTACCTAGAAGAAAATCGACAGAGAATGTAAATGTTTTGCAGAATACACAGGAGGAAAAAAAAAGCCGTTGAAAACAAACCTGGAGTTAATTTGAACCTACCCAGCGTCCTGGGCTTCGTGTGCTCGAATCACAGATAATAAATTATTGTTTTGCAAAAATTCACAAATCGCGGGGTAACTGAAAAAGAAGGTTTTAAAAGCATGTTAACACGTGCTGAAGGAAATGATTGTCTCAGCTTTTCTCAAAGGAGGGTGCAGGCTTCAAGAACGACAGAGGTCTGCCAAGCCCCTTCAAATCAAACTACATTTTATAGTAACTGGGTATCTGGCACAATTAGGAAACATTTGCAGGAACTGAGGCAAGCTAGGAAACTGAATTCAAAATGGGTTGTTGTAGGTTTTTCCGGGCTATATGGCCATGCTCTAGAGGCATTTTCTCCTGACGTTTTGCCTGCATCTATGGCAAGCATCCTCAGAGGTAGTGAGGTCTGTTGGAACTAGGAAAATGGGTTTATATATCTGTGGAATGACCAGGGTGGGATAAAGGACTCTTGTCTGCTGGAGCTAGGTGTGAATGTTTCAACTGACCACCTGGATTAGCATTTGATGGCCTGGCAGTGCCTGGGGGGAGCTTTTGTTGAGAGGTGATTTGATGTGCCTTTAAATGCTAATCAAGGTGGTCAGTTGAAACATTCACACCTAGCTCCAGCAGACAAAAGTCCTTTGTCCCACCCTGGTCATTCCACAGATATATAAACCCATTTTCCTACTTCCAACAGACCTCACTACCTCTGAGGATGCTTGCCATAGATGCAGGCGAAACGTCAGGAGAAAATGCCTCTAGAACATGGCCATATAGCCCGGAAAAACTACAACAACCCAGTGATTCCAACCGTGAAAGCCTTCAACAATACACTGAATTCAAAATGCCTGCATTCTGTACCAAATGCCCTGCGACTCGGAAAAGCTCAAAGTACAATTCAATATAGGTGTGTCTGATGCAGAATCCTCCAGTGACTTCTAGAATGCATTGTCAAAGGCTTTCATGGCCGGAATCACTGGGTTGTTGTGGATTTTCCGGGCTGTCTGGCCATGCTCGGGAAGCATTCCCTCCTGACGTTTCTCCTGCATCTATGGCAGGCATCCCCACAGGTTGTGAGGTCTGGTTGGTTAAATTTAATTAAGGAAATACTGTTTAATTACCCAACTACAGCAGCCAAAATCATATTTGCAAAACACTGGCGGTCAAAAGACATACCCAAAAAAGAAGAATGGCAGAATAAAGTCCTGGAGATAATGAATGTGGATAAATTAACTTATTGGCTATCCTCAAACCAAGGGATTCCAAAGAAATATTCAAACTGGGACCCAGTAAAAGACTATTTCAAACAACAGAAAATAGAAATTATTATTTGAAAAGAGTAAATAATAAATAGGGAAGAAATAGAGGGGAAGTAGACAACTTTTGAAATACAGATAAATCTGAAGGGAAAAAAATACTTCAAAGACCACCAAAGATTAGATGGAAGTCAATGGGTTCCCCCCCCCCCCTGTTTTCCTTTATATTTTCATATATTTTTTCTTTTTCTTTCTTCCTCTTCTGGACTATTTTCTTCTTTCTACTCTCAGTTCTTACTGCTCCCACTTTCCTGCCCAAAGCAAATATGTTCTTCCACTTTCAATGTTAAAAAACTTTCTTTTTCTATGACTTTTAATCTTCCTAATAAAAATATTTGAAATTTTTTAAAATGATAATCAAGGTGGCCAATTGAAACATTCACACTTTCCTCGAACAGACAAGAGTTCTTTCTCCCACCCTGGACATTATTCCACAGGTATATAACCCCCATTTTCCTAGGTTCTAACAGACCTCACAACCTCTGAGGATGCCTGCCATAGATGTGGGTGAAACGCCAGGAGAGAATCCTAGAATCCTAGATTTGGAAGAGACCTCCTGGGCCATCATCCAGTCCAACCCCATTCTGCCGAGAAGCAGGAATGTTGCATTCAAATCACCCCTGACAGATGGCCATCCAGCCTCTGTTTCAAAGCCTCCAAAGAAGGAGCCTCCACCACACTCCCTCCGGGGCAGAGAGTTCCACTGCTGAACGGCTCTCACAGTCAGGAAGTTCTTCCTCATGTTCAGGTGGAATCTCCTTTCTTGTAGTTTGAAGCCATTGTTCTGTGTCCTAGTCTCCAGGGGAGCAGTAAACAAGCTTGCTCCCTCCTCCCTGTGGCTTCCTCTCACATATTTATACATGGCTATCACATCTCCTCTCAGCCTTCTCTTCTTCAGGCTAAACATGCCCAGCTCCTTAAGCCGCTCCTCATAGAGCTTGTTCTCCAGATCCTTGATCTGCTCCCTCCTCCCTGTGGCTTCCTCTCACATATTTATACATGGCCCTCACCATGTCTCCTCTCATCTTTCTTTTCTTCAGGCTAAACATGCCCAGCTCCTTAAGCCGCTCCTCATAGGGCTTGTTCTCCAGACCCTTGATCATTTTAGTCGCCCTCCTCTGGACACATTCTAGCTTTTGGAACATGGCCATACAGCCCAAAAAACTCACAGCAACCCAGTACTTCTAAAATGTTTGAAATATATTAGAAAGCAGTAAGGACACTGCATTCTAGGCCTTGCATTTTAGGAGTAAAAATTCAAAGGGGACTCAACTCTGAGCCAAGGTGTATTTTTAGAAGAGAATTGCCCACACTTGCTAAAAAGAGAATTCTGCACAAAGCGCGGGAGGTGGAAAGAACGGAGCAGAGCAAATGAGCGTGCCCTACATTTATTTTTCACTCTCCTCAGTGCTTCGTTGGAGTTATTTCTCACCTGTAGAAATAAGAGCAACCTCGAACGGTATTGTGGGTAAAGTGTTCCAGTGTCTTCTCGTTGCCATAATCCTCTGATGGATCAGACCATAGCAGATCACACATTGGACCAAAAGCCGGAGGTTCCTTAAACCTGTCTAACTGAAGACACAAACCAAAAGACAATTATAAATATATAGATCCTCAGGATCAAGGACACAAATGATTAAAATAGAATGCACTGACATTAAAAACAAACACGAATCCATCTGTGCTAGACATATACACGCTCTCCCATGGCCTCCAGGAACTAAATATTTAACACCTCCATCTCCAACCAGCTCTGCCACAGACCATAGGAATAATTACTTGCATGGGAGAAAGGTTGAAGGCATAGATTTTTCTTTTTAAAAAAGTACATTTGATTTATTTTAAAGATTAAGAAAAAATACTGTATATACTCGAGTATAAGCCTAGTTTTTCAGCCCCCTTTTTAGGCTGAAAAATCTCCCCCCGGCTTATACTCGAGTCAAGGTTATTTACTATTTTACTCTGTTATTAGTATTATTTTACTGCATTTATTATTTTACTCTATTTATTAATATTATATTTATTATTTTACTCTTTATTGTTATTATAACATTTATTATGTTACTCTATTTATTATTGTTATTATAACTTTATTATTTTACTCTTTATTGTTATTATTACATTTATTATTTTACTCTATTATTGTTGTTATTACATTTATTATTTTACTAGCTTTACCCGCCACACGTTGCTGTGGCCAACCTTCTCTCCCTCTTTCTCTCCTCCTTTCAGTCCTTCCTTCATTTCCTTTTCTTCTTTCCTTTCTTCCTTCTCTACCTGTTTACTTCCTTCCTTAGCTTTTTGCTCCCATCCTTCCTTCTCTTTATTTCTTTCCTTCCCTCCCTCTTTCTCTCCTTCTTTCTCTTCTTCCTTTGCTCCGTCTTTCCTCCCTTCCCTTTTTTCTTTCCTTCTCTCCTCCTTCCTTCTCTTCCTCTTTCCTTCCTCCTCCCTTTTTATTTTCCTTCCTCTTTCTCTCCTTTCTTCCCTCTCTCTCTTTCCTTCCTTCCTTCGCTCTTCACTTCCACACTTCCTTTTCTTTCTTTCTTTTCTTCCCTCCCTTTCTCTTCTTCCTTTGCTTTTTTCCTCTCTCTTCCCCTTCCTTCCTTTCTTCCTTTTGACACCTTTCCTTCCCCTTCCCTTTCTTCTTTTCTATCTTTCTTTCCTTTCCTCCTTCCTTCCTTTCTCCCTTCTTTCCCATCCTCCTTCTCTCTCTTGTATTCTTTCTTTCCTACCTTTCTTCTTTCATATACCTTCTCAACTTCTCCTTCCTTACTTCCTTCATACACCTTCTCTCCCTTCCTTCCTTTCCTTCCTTCCTTCCTTCCTCCGTTCTTTCCCATCATCCTTCTCTCCCTTTCTTCTTTCTTTCCTTCCTTCTTCTTTCATATACCTTCTCAACTTCTCCTTCCTTACTTCCTTCATACACCTTCCCTTCTCTCCTTTCTTCTTCCTTACTTCCTTCCCATCCTCCTTCTCTCCCTTTCTTCTTTCTTTTCTTCCTTTCTTGTTTCATATACCTTCTCAACTTCTCCTTCCTTCCTACACCTTCCCTTCCCCTTCCCACTTTTCTTCCTTCTTTCCTTCCTTCCTTCCTTCCTTCCTTGCAATTTACACCCCTTCCCCTCATTTCCGTCCTTCCTTCCCTCTCCCGCTTCCTTCCCTCCTTCCCCTTCCTCACAGATGGCGGAGCCAGACGGCGGTGTGCGGGGGCAGCCTGGGCCGGGCATTGTGGTGGCCGATGGGCTGTCCTCGGCAGAGCCGGGCCGTGGCCTCTCCCGGCCGGGCCAAGAGGGTGTGCAGCGGGGGCCTCCCGGGCAGCCTCCGCAGGTCGCGCAGCATCCTGGCCCCCAGCGAGCACAGCCGGCCGAGCTCCAACTCCCAGGCCGGGGCTTCAGCATCAGCGGGTAGGCCGCATTCTAGAACTACAGTTCCCAGAGTTGTTTTGAATGTCAAGTCCCAGAAAAACCAAGCCTATGGTTCCATAAATCCCAACAACTACAACTCCCAAATGACATTATCAATCCTACCCCCCAACTCCACCAGCATTCATATACGGGCATATTGAGTATTTGTGCCAAACTTTCCAAGTTTCTAAAGACTTTGTTTAGGAAAATCCATAGGGCCTCTCAGCCGAGGCACCCCGTCCTCCCACTGGGTACAAAGAGCACGTCCTGTTTGAAAAGACAATTGCTATAGGCCCAGCGCGTGTCAGCACAAACATTAAAATGAAAATTAAACAGTATACTTACGATCCATTTAGCTATTGCTATTTGGGACACAAAACCCCCATGACCAACAGAACATACTGGAGACATTTGGGGGAAATTGTCCTTGATGGGAGTTATAGTTCACCTGCATCCAGAGAAATTATGACTCCCGCCGACAATGGACTGGGACCACACTTTGCACAGAGAGGCCCCATGACCAACTGAACATACTACAGGGGTTGGTGGGAATGGACCTTGATTTTGGGAGTTGTAGTTCACCCTTATCCAGAAAGCACTGAACCCAGCCAATGATGGATCTAGAACAAACTTGGCACACAGAACATGGCTAACTTTGAATACAGGTGGGGTTTGGGGGTGAGTGACCTTGGATCTGGAAGTTGTAGTTCACTTGTCCAGAGAGCACTGAACCCAGGCAATGTCAGATCTGGACCAAACTTGGCACACAGAGCAAACATGGCCAACTGTGCATACAGGCGGTGTTTGAAGGTGAGTGACCTTGGATCTGGAAGTTGTAGTTCACTTATCCAGAGAGCACTGAAACCAGCCAACATCAGATCTGGACCAAACTTGGCACACAGACTCAACATGGCCAACTATGCATACAGGCAGGGTTTGGGGGTGAGTGACCTTGGATCCAGAAGTTGTAGTTCACTTATCCAGAAAGCACTGCACCCAGCCAACGTCAGATCTGGACCAAACTTGGCACACAGACCAAACATGGCCAACTGTGCATACAGGCGGGGTTTGAAGGTGAATGACCTTGGATCCGGAAGTTGTAGTTCACTTATCCAGAGAGCACTTAACTCAGGCAATGTCAGATCTGGACCAAATTTGGCACACAGACTCAACATGGCCAAGTATGAATACTGATGGGGTTTGGGGTGAATGACTCACGATTTTGGGAAATGCAATTCACCCACATTCTCGCGAAATTTCTAATGGAAGCATTCATAAAAAACAGCAGGAAAGACTGACTTTTAAGAAATAAACCTACAAATTACCAAACTGGTATTACCGAACACCCCAAAACAAACAATGCTATTTTCAATTAACTCAGGCACTGCTGGGTCCCCAAGCTAGAAAACTATAAAGGTCAGTCATAAGTGTACGTTGTCAAAGTGTACGTTGTAGTCTCCAAAATTTTACAACTTCCTACAACTAAATTACATTAATGAAATTTCAGCCATTCTGAAGTATGGAGAAGGGATGGAAAAGTAAGAGAAAGCGAGGTGACTTACTTTCCTAATGTCGTCTAGACATGTGATTTCAGGAGACAGCCCTCCGTGCACACACAAAAACTGCTGGTTCAAAAGGGCAGCGAGAGGGAGACAGTCAAAGGTATCCATGCATGCATCATACACCCGCTCCGAGTACTTGATTCGACCTACAGGAAAGGAAGTAAAAGAAGGCAAGGGTTAGGTATCAGCTATGCAGGACCAACTGATTGCAGCCCCTCCGTTGCCCACAAAGTTCTGGAACATCTAATGATACGTACAAAGCAAAGAAAAAAGAACTTTTAAATGTGCTGCACACCTTTTCCTTCCTCCATGCTGCTCCTGTTTCGTACTCTGTCTTCACGGAATTTCCACATCAAAGCGTCTGATTTATTTTATTTTATTTTTTACATGTCAGGGGCAGACCAAGCAGTTGCATTGCATTTTTTTAAACAAAATGGTTAAAATGCTGACTGGCACAACCTGGGGATCACAACCAGACACAGTGAACACATCTGCCCTTGCGCTGTGCTACTCTGCTGCTGAGTATGCATGCCCAGTGTGGAACACATCTCACCACGCTAAAAAAGTGGATGTGGCTCTGAATGAGACATGCCACATTATCATGGGGTGTCTGCGCCCTACACCACTGGAGAAATTACACTGCTTAGCCGGTATTGCACCACCTGACATCCGCCGGGAAGGAGCAGCCAATAGTGAAAGGACCAAGGCTGAGACATCTCCAGCTCATCCCTTGTTTGGGTATCAGCCAGCACGTCAACAACTTAAATCAAGAAATAGTTTTCTCAGATCTACAGAGACACTCGCTGGAACACCTCAGCAAGCGAGAGTCCAAAAGTGGCAGGCTCAAGCCCAGAAACTCAACCCATGGCTGATACCAAATGAGAGACTCCCTCCTGGGCACACAGAAGACGGGGCAACTTGGAAGGTGCTGAACAGACTGCACTTTGGCACCACGAGATGCAGAGCCAACCTTATGAAATGGGGCCACAAAGTGGAGTCCACGACATGCGAGTGTGGAGAAGAGCAAATCACTGACCACCTGCTGCAATGCAACCTGAGTCCTGCCACATGCACAATGGAGGACCTCCTTGCAGCAACACCAGAGGCACTCCAAGGGGCCAGATACTGGGCAAAGGACATTTAATCCACTACCAAGCTTGCAAACTTTGTGTTTTGTTTGTTTGTTTGTGTACAATTTTTTTAAAAAGGTGTCTGATGAAGAACGCGTAGAGGCCTACCCTGCTGTGCAGACAATGCCACGGCATATTTGAGAGGGCATGGACAGTTTGCAAGGGATGGCAGACGGGCATGCTGCCGTTCACCGTCACTTTATGTGAACTGGAAGTGCCTCCCAAAACATGTTCAACACTCCCCTGCAGCAACACATTGCAGGAGAAGATTTGGAGCGACAGGCTAGGTGTCTTCCAGGGAAACTTGTTCACCCTTGCAGATTTTGCCACTGAATAAGCCTCCAAGGGACAGTTTGAATGCAGTGCCTTAAGCTCCGCTCTGCTGTAGACACGACTGCTGTATGGAACGCTTCTGAGAGCAGTTTGGGATTTTGCAAGCCATCTCCCAAGTCCAATACCTATTTTATATTTCTTGTCACCTTTTACAAACAGGCTCGTTGGATGTATGAGCATCTTCGAAGTGCATTGCGAAAATCAGTCCCTACAGCATATGGTGACATAAACAACGTAGATGGGGGAAAAAGAGAATTGTCCTGTACTCTTTTGCAGGTTAGGAGAACCAGAAGAGAAAAAACAAAACCAGCTTCAAAATGCAGGAAGAACGTCTATGCTCTTCACTTTTCTGTAGACGTGCTAAAGCTTGCTTGTACTCCAGACTGAACATAGAATCCTAGAGTTGGAAGAGACCTCCTGGGCCATCATCCAGTCCAATCCCATTCTGCCTAGAAGCAGGAATATTGCATTCAAAGCACCCCTGACAGATGGCCATCCAGCCTCTGTTTCAAAGCTTCCAAAGAATGAGCCTCCACCACACTCCCTCCTGGGCAGAGAGTTCCACTGCTGAACGGCTCTCACAGTCAGGAGGTTCTTCCTCATGTTCAGGTGGAATCTCCTTTGGAGCCATTGTTTCGTGTCCTAGTCTCCAGGGAAGCGGAAAACAAGCTTGCTCCCTCCTCCCTGTGGCTTCCTCTCACATATTTGTACATGGCTATCATGTCTCCTCTCACCCTTCTCTTCTTCAGGCTAAACATGCCCAGCTCCTTAAGCTGCTCCTCATAGGGCTTGTTCTCCAGACCCTGGATCCTTTGAGTTGCCCTCCTCTGGACACATTCCAACTTGTCAATATCTCTCTTGAATTGTGGTGCCCAGAATTGGACACAATATTCCAGGTAAAGTGGTCTAACCAAAGCGGGATAGAGCATGGGATGTATAACTTCCCTAGATCTAGGCACTAGATTCCTATTGATGCAGGCCAAAATCCCATTGGCCTTTTTTGCCGCTGCATCACATTCCTGGCTCATGTTCACCTTCCTGTCCACAAGGACTCCAAGATCTTTTTCACATATCCTGCTCTCGAGCCAGGCATCATCCCCCATTCTGTCTCTGTGCATTTCATTTTTTTCTGCCTAAGTGGAGTATCTTGCATTTGTCTCTGTTGAACTTCAGTTTGTATGTTTTGGCCCATCATCTCTCTCATCTGTCAAGATCGTTTTGAATCCATTATAAGCTCAGGTATCTATAAGTTTTGTATCTTCAGTTATCAAATAACAATCTTAGAAATTCAATTGCTCATTTCAAATTAAAATTCTAATGAATTTAAACAAGAATGTGGATTATTTACAATCTTAATTTTCAGTACAGATGTACTGTAATGGAATGGTCTTTATTTGTGCTGTATACAGTCGTCATTTTGTTTTCCTAGGAAGACAAAAGCCACAATGTAGAGAACAGCCCTGGATGAAGGCTAAGAGCAACTAACTAACAGCTAATCTATTGTCCCCAATTTTTTCCTTTTCTGTCCCTTGTCCCCCACCCTCGTAGTAAATGTTTAATAAAAATATTTGGAAAAAAGAAGCCATCTAGCTATTAGAATCATAGAATCCTAGAGTTGGAAGAGACCTTGTGGACCATTCAGTCCAACGTCTGCTAAGAAGCAGGAAAATTGCATTCAAAGCACCCCTGACAGATGGTCACATCCAGTCTTTGTTTAAAAGCCTCCAAAGAAGGACCCTCCACTACATTCCAGGACAGAGAGTTCCACTGTTGAACAGCTCTCCTTGCAGTTACAAAGTTCTTTCCAATATTCAGGTGGAATCTCCTTTCCTGAAGTTTGAAGCCACTGTTCCACGTCCTGCTCTACATGGCAGCAGAAAATAGAGCTTGCTTACTCTTGTGACTTCCCCTCACCTCTTGATCCATGGCCCTCATCATGTTTCCTCACAGCCTTCTCTTCTGCAGGCTAAACATGCCCAGCTCTTTAAGCCACTCCTCATGGGGCTTGTTCTCCAGACCCTTGATCCTTTGAGTTGCCCTCCTCTGGACACATTCCAACTTAGAGTCAACATCTCCCTTTAATTGTGGTGCCCAGAACTGGACACAGTGTGATTCCAGGTAAAGTGGTCTGACCAATGCAGAATAGAGCATGGGGAGCATGACTTCCCTGGATCTAGGCACTAGCACTGGGGAGAATCACCCTCTGGGGACAAGCTCCTCATGCAAAGGGGACATGAGAGAAGCCTTCCACAAGGATGACAAAAACATCAAATCATCCGGGCGTCCCCTGGGCAATGTCCTTGCAGACAGCCAATTCTCTCACACCAGAAGCAACTTGCAGTTTCTCAAGTCGCTCCTGATACGATAATAATAATACCCTCTGGGTTCGTTCCCTTAACCAATGACAGATCCTCTTAACTGTAGTTCTGCCCAGCCCATATTTGACTAGTTTCCTTACCAGAAGAGTGAAGAATGGTAAGACAGTGGCATCAGAAAAGTGAGAGACTCCTCTTACTACCATTCCCATACAGTCTACATAATTAAAACAGGCTTTGTGTATTCAAGTGGCACACACGCACACTGAGCAATCTCTGCCAACGGGGAAGCCCCCGATCTTCCTCCAGTCCTGTCACCAGCTGCAGCCTGGAAGGGAAAGCTCTTGGCAGTAATTACAGGGTGTTGGGTCCTTAAGCTGATGGAGGTGGGAGGGGCAGCTTGTGTGGAGTCAGGCCAGCAGCGCATCCACAACAACAATGACAATGGCAACACGGTGCTAACAGACCCCCTGTGAACAGGGATTTAGAATGCCCCGTCTATGTACATCGGAGGAGGGACATGCGCACAACCGCACCCGCACCCAGAGCCTTCTTTCATCCGATGCCAAACCCACCTGTTGCCCCGTACTTACATTCCTGCTTAAAGGTGAAATATTCTGTGAGGTGCCTGCACTCGTGGTTCCCTCGGAGCAGGAAGAGTGTTTTGGGGTGGTTTATCTTTAAGCTCCACAAATAAAGCATGCACTGCAAGAGAGAGAAAAGACAGCACACGATCAGCAACCACTCTTGCAGGGAAACGACACTCTGGAGCTTCGGGGAGGCCTGTGGGAGTAAACACACGGAGAGTCCTTCCAAAAGGAAAAGAAAAAAATCCAGACCGCGGCAGGGGAAACTGGGTCTCACACCACAATTATTTTTCCACCCAAGTCAGTACGGTCTGCGCTGAGTGATAGTGGTTTGTCATGGATTTGGGAAAAGAGCAGGGTTTCTCATCATGGAGATCCCAGGACCTGATTTTTTTGCATGGATAACATAGTTGCTAATCTATGCTAGGCTCATGGGTGCTGCAGTGAGTTAAACAGCTAAGCTAACTTGCTGACCAAAAGGTTGGCGGTTCGAATCCGGGAACGGGGTGAGCTCCCGTTGTTAGCCCAAGCTTCTTCCAACCTAGCAGTTCAAAAAGATGTAAATGTCATTAGATCAATAGGTGCCGCTCTGGAGGGAAGGTAATGGTGCTTCAAGCAGTCATGCCTATGGCCACATGACCTTGGAGGTGTCTATGAACAACGCCGGCTCTTCTGTTTAGAAATGGAGATTATTTATTTATTTATTTAAAACATTGATATTCCGCCCTTCTTCTCACCCCAAAGGGGACTCAGGGCGGAGCACAGCATATACATGGCAAACATTCAATGCCCGGACATAAAACCCTAACTATATACAAACATTAAAATCACTTATACCCACATTAAAACCAGTTGCTTAAAAACCATCTCAGGATGCCACAATTAATGTCATTTTATTGCTATCTGTTTTTATTTTGAATTTTACCACTAGCGGCTGCATTTCTCGCCCTCGGTTTATACTCGAGTCAATACGTTTTCCCAGTTTTTTGTGGTACCATTACGTGCCTCGGCTTATATTCAGGTCGGCTTGTGCCCGAATATATACGATATATTGTTATGCATTAAGACATAAGGCAGGGAATATATATCAATGTGTGAATGCTGATCATTGATCAGCTCTGCACCAAATTCATCCATTAATATACAAATACGAATATTCACTGTGAAGAGCCAAAAAACAGAAGCATAAATATTCTCCATCTTCATTGCTATGATACTTCATCTTGTTGATGGGAAGCTTCTCACCGGAGTGGAAATCATCTGTCGGACAAATGGCAAGCTATTTAACCGCAGCAGACTGAAAGCCAAAACCAAGGTTACAACAACTTCTGTTACAGAACTCCAGTATGTTGTTGACAACATAGTTTGTGCTCATTCAGAAGAAGAACTACAAGCCACTCTAAACACCTTCACAGAAGCATACGAGAAGCTCGGCCTGTCACTGAACATCGAGAAAACTGTTCCAGCAGACACCGGCCAATCCCTCTCCAATGCCAGAGATACAGCTTCATGGTGTCACATTTCCACCAAAGTCAACATCGACACCCAAATACAGCACCGCCTGAGCTCTGCAAGTACAGCATTTTTCCGAATGAAGCAGAGAGTGTTTAGGGACCGGGACATCCGTATGGAGACCAAGATGCTTGTTTATAAAGCCATTCCCCTTCCAACCCTGCTCTATGCCTGTGAGACGTGGACTGTCTACAGACGTCACATGCAACTCCTGGAACGATTCCATCAGTGCTGCCTCCGGAAAATCCTACAAATCTCTTGGGAAGACAGGCGGACAAACGTCAGCGTGCTGGAAGAAGAAGCAAAGGCCACCAGCAGTGAAGCGATGGTCCTTCATCATCAACTCCACTGGACCGGCCACGTTGTCCGGATGCCCGACCACCGTCTCCCAAAGCAGTTGCTCTACTCCGAACTCAAGAACGGAAAACAGAATGTTGGTGGGCAGGAAAAGAGATTGAAAGATGGGCTCAAAGCCAACCTTAAAAACTCTGGCATAGACACTGAGAACTGGGAAGCCCTGGCCCTTGAGCGCTCCAGCTGGAGGTCAGCTGTGACCAGCAGTGCTGCAGAATTTAAAGAGGCACGAATAGAGGGCGAAAGAGAGAAATGTGCCAAGAGGAAGGCATGTCAAGCCAACCCCGACCGAGACCGCCTTCTACCTGGAAACCAATGTCCTCACTGTGGGAGAAGATGCAGATCAAGAATAGAGCTCCACAGTCTCCTACGGACACACCAGAACACTGACCCTGGAAGACTATCCTACTCGGTCAACGAGGGATCGCCTAAGTAAGTAAGTAAGTAAGTAAGTAAGTAAGTAAGATCATTGATCAACTCTGCACCAAATTGATCCATCAAAATATAAATATGAATATTCACTGTGAAGAGCCAAAAAACCAAATCATACATAGCCAACAACAAAGGATCAATGGTAGGACACCTTCTCTCTTCCTCCATCTCCCTATTCATTTATACGTTTGTTAATGAAGTTGCCGAGCTCCTAGACATTACTTCAACTGAAAAGTTGGTACACCAAAAGCAGGACTAACATGGAAAGAATAGAAATATCTCCCTAAACCACACAAAAGAGGAACCGCTCCACATGTTTCAGCAACCACTTTGAAACTAACAACATGTGAAATGAAATAACCAGGTCAAACAAGCCTTGTATAAGCAAAGAAAAATATGTTGAAATTTTTACAGACCACTTGAAAGCTTCTTCAAAAAATATCTTTCACCAGTCTCTCCTCCCACCCCCACCCCCACCCCCAAATTTCCATTTTGTTTGCCAAATTAATAGATCTGGGCCTTTTAAACAAGCAGAGAGGAGCTGGCAAGGCAGGCTCATCAGCTGTCTCTGAGTTTTTCTGTGCCAGAATGCTGAATGAGGGATTCTGGGGGCAACTTCTGTTTCCTTCGTCCATTGTAGGCAGGTACCCACGGCTACAGGAGCACAAGAGAAAGACTTTGAGTGAACTGAAGCCTGCTCTCCAAACACGTCTGCATAACAGTGAGGATCTCGAGGCCGTGTTTTAGTCTTAAGATCTTGGGAGTTTGGATTCATATTTTAAGAAGTTTCCATAGTCTTGCTTTTGGATTCATGTTCATGTTTTGATTCTTGTTTTCTTGGATTTATGCTCATGTTTTGATTCTGATTTTCCTGAACTGTTTGGATTATTGCCTTTGGAATGTTTTTTTCCCCTATGGCGAGTTTGATTTGTCTTATTATTACCTTTTACCTATTGGATGTTGCCTTTCTTATTTCCTATGGTGATTTTCCCCTTTTATGTGTGCTTTTCTCAAGAAACAGTTTTACTACTGCTTTTGGATTCTTGGTTGGTGTTGAGTGCAAGGTGAAATCTGGCTGGGGTGCAACACTGACCGCATAGGGAGAGCACAACCCAAACCAGAATGGGCTTTAAACTACCCATCAGCACCAAGTAACTCCCAGTAACAGTATATTTGCCTTTTATGGGTGGTTATTTATAGCCTCCCATTCAATGGGTTAGACCCTTGTGCTGGCAGGACTGAAGACTGACAGGTCAGAGGTTTGAATCTGGGGAGAGCATGGATGAGCTCCTTCAGTCAGCTCCAGCTTCCCATGTGGGAACATAAGGGAAGCCTCCCCCACAAGGATGATAAAACATCAAAAACGCCCAGAGTGTGGTGGAGGGTCCTTCTTTGGAGGCTGGATGGCCATCTGTTAGGGGTGCTTTGAATGCAATGGTCCTGCTTCTTGGCAGAATGGGGTTGGACTGGGTGGCCCAGGAGGCCTCTTCCAACTCTAGGATTCTATGTGAGAGCCGTTCAGCAGTGGAACTCTCTGCCCCGGAGTGTGGTGGAGGGTCCTTCTTTGGAGGCTGGATGGCCATCTGTCGGGGGTGCTTTGAATGCAATTTTCCTGCTTCTTGGAAGAATGGGGTTGGACTGGATGGCCACCAGGTCTCTTCCAACTCTAGGATTCTATGGTCTCTCTCGGCTGCCTCGCAGAACTAGCAGAACCGAAGCTGAGGCTTCCCTGAGCAATTTTTACCCCTGAAGTGCTTTGCAGAAAAGTCACAGTGGAGTGTCTTCAAATTATTGAGTAGGTCATGCAAGCCGCGTAATATGCAACTCCTGGCTCAGCAAGGCTCTGCTCCAAGCACCGGCGGCAAAGGACTGTTCCTTTGCTCCCATCACTGTCAGAAAGGAGGCAGATGAACTCTTCACTAGACTTGTTAAGAGCCATTAAACTTAGGTTCTCACCATTGCCTCAACTCCCTTCTACTCAACTCCCTGGTGAACCAAGGTGCTTTTAAGGAGTTCTGCTCAACGGAGAAGAGTATTTAGAAGCAACGGTGTCAATTACCTGAGTTCAAAAAGGGAATGTGGCTCTGAAACAAGGGCAAACCCTGGTAAAAGACAATCCCCGGGGCCTTCATGAAACCATTTGCATCTAGCGGCTTCTGGGGACAGGCCATGTGCTTCTGGTAATCGGAAGGTCTGAGGGATAGACCATATGCTTCTGGTAAACAGACTGTAGGCCTGTGACTCTAATCTCAGAACCATTTTCTCCTGTACGGTTTTTTTTATCTTTTCCTAGTGAAGAAGCCAATGAAGCCCTGCAACCTTGAAGGATGGATTGTATGTTTTGGAAATGGTCCAAAAAATGTAGTTTTGGGTTTTATTGAATACTAGCTGCACCCACCACATGTTGCTGTGGCCAACCTTCCCTCATTCTTTCTCTCCTTCTTTCCCTCCTTCCTTTTTCTTCTTTCCTTCTCTCCTTCCTTCCTTCCTTCCCTCTTTCTCTCCTCCGTTCCCTCTTTCCCTTTTCTTCTTTCCTTCTCTCCTTCCCTCTCTCCCTCTTTCTCTCCTTCCCTTTTCTTCTTTCCTTCTCTCCTTCCTTCCTTCCCTCCCTTTCTCTCCTTCTTTCCCTCCTTCCTTTTTCTTCTTTCCTTCTCTCCTTTCTTCCTTCCCTCCCTCTTTCTCTCCTTCTTTCCCTCCTTCCTTCCTTCCCTCCCTTTCTCTCCTTCCCTTTTCTTCTTTCCTTCTCTCCTTCCTTCCTTCCTTCCCTTTCTCTCATTCTTTCCCTCCTTCCTTTTTCTTCTTTCCTTCTCTCCTTCCTTC